CCAGCCAGCGAGTTTACAAAGGAAATTTGTACTAATGTGTTACTTTAACATACCAATGTAATATCAATTGTCGGGTCTTGAAAATACACGTACAAGTTCTGACCAGCATGTTTGGTCTCCATGCAAAACACGAGGTTTTGCTAAGACAAGAATTATGATGTGCTACCCCATCCATGGATAATCTAAATAAATCAAGACAGAGTACAGTGATGATGCCAATTAGTCCTTTCCAAATCTGGTAGTGATGATGCCAATTAGTCCTTTACAATTCTGGTAGCTGTTACTTGAAGAGAATGTAAACTACGTCACGCGTGAGGAAGTAGAAACGAATTAAGAATTGTTCAATTAATCAACAATCTACATCTTTTATTTGTGTGACACCAGAATGCGCCAGAAGTGAATTCCGCTGTGCTGATAAGAAGCACTGCATTCGTGGAAGCCTGTACTGTGATGGGGTGACTGACTGTGCAGACCAGAGTGATGAAACTCCAGACTGTGCATGCCGCTCAGACCAAATACGTTGTGGCAATGGGAGCTGCCTGGGAATAGCGTCCTTGTGTGATGGAGTCAATGACTGTGGGGATTTTACTGATGAAAGCAACTGCAGTAAGTTCCATTATGAGTTGAATTCGGTTATTAATGATTCATAGTATTTTGTTTCAAATAAATATTCTAAATAACCTTATCATGGATATTTTTTTCCTATTTTGTTCAAGGCTGTACTGCAAACCAGTATGCATGCAACAACAGCAACAATGAATGTTTGGAGTGGATCTACGTTTGTGATGGAGAAGCTGACTGTAGTGGTGGATCTGATGAAAGCGACTGTGAAAGAGGTATGTTTGAACATCTTCAAGTGAGTTTCAATATTTGAATACAGCATGTTCTTGAACAAATAGCAGAAAAACTGTCTCACACATACACAAGTGTTCAAGGGAACTCCTTAAATTGGAAAAAAAACTGGAAATTGCACTACTGCGCCTCGAAATGTGAACAGCCCGAAAAAGTTATGCTTGTTCACGACGTCTCCACTGTGTGCACAAAAGTCACGTGCCAGCCAGCGAGTTTACAAAGGAAATTTGTACTAATGTGTTACTTTAACATACCAATGTAATATCAATTGTCGGGTCTTGAAAATACACGTACAAGTTCTGACCAGCATGTTTGGTCTCCATGCAAAACACGAGGTTTTGCTAAGACAAGAATTATGATGTGCTACCCCATCCATGGATAATCTAAATAAATCAAGACAGAGTACAGTGATGATGCCAATTAGTCCTTTCCAAATCTGGTAGTGATGATGCCAATTAGTCCTTTACAATTCTGGTAGCTGTTACTTGAATGAGAATGTAAACTACGTCACGCGTGAGGAAGTAGAAACGAATTAAGAATTGTTCAATTAATCAACAATCTACATCTTTTATTTGTGTGACACCAGAATGCGCCAGAAGTGAATTCCGCTGTGCTGATAAGAAGCACTGCATTCGTGGAAGCCTGTACTGTGATGGGGTGACTGACTGTGCAGACGAGAGTGATGAAACTCCAGACTGTGCATGCCGCTCAGACCAAATACGTTGTGGCAATGGGAGCTGCCTGGGAATAGCGTCCTTGTGTGATGGAGTCAATGACTGTGGGGATTTTACTGATGAAAGCAACTGCAGTAAGTTCCATTATGAGTTGAATTCGGTTATTAATGATTCATAGTATTTTGTTTCAAATAAATATTCTAAATAACCTTATCATGGATATTTTTTTCCTATTTTGTTCAAGGCTGTACTGCAAACCAGTATGCATGCAACAACAGCAACAATGAATGTTTGGAGTGGATCTACGTTTGTGATGGAGAAGCTGACTGTAGTGGTGGATCTGATGAAAGCGACTGTGAAAGAGGTATGTTTGAACATCTTCAATGAGTTTCAATATTTGAATACAGCATGTTCTTGAACAAATAGCAGAAAAAACTGTCTCACACATACACAAGTGTTCAAGGGAACTCCTTAAATTGGAAAAAAACTGGAAATTGCACTCTTGCGCCTCGAAATGTGAACAGCCCGAAAAAGTTATGCTTGTTCACGACGTCTCCACTGTGTGCACAAAAGTCACGTGCCAGCCAGCGAGTTTACAAAGGAAATTTGTACTAATGTGTTACTTTAACATACCAATGTAATATCAATTGTCGGGTCTTGAAAATACACGTACAAGTTCTGACCAGCATGTTTGGTCTCCATGCAAAACACGAGGTTTTGCTAAGACAAGAATTATGATGTGCTACCCCATCCATGGATAATCTAAATAAATCAAGACAGAGTACAGTGATGATGCCAATTAGTCCTTTCCAAATCTGGTAGTGATGATGCCAATTAGTCCTTTACAATTCTGGTAGCTGTTACTTGAAGAGAATGTAAACTACGTCACGCGTGAGGAAGTAGAAACGAATTAAGAATTGTTCAATTAATCAACAATCTACATCTTTTATTTGTGTGACACCAGAATGCGCCAGAAGTGAATTCCGCTGTGCTGATAAGAAGCACTGCATTCGTGGAAGCCTGTACTGTGATGGGGTGACTGACTGTGCAGACGAGAGTGATGAAACTCCAGACTGTGCATGCCGCTCAGACCAAATACGTTGTGGCAATGGGAGCTGCCTGGCAATAGCGTTCTTGTGTGATGGAGTCAATGACTGTGGGGATTTTACTGATGAAAGCAACTGCAGTAAGTTCCATTATGAGTTGAATTCGATTATTAATGATTCGTAGTATCTTTTTTTCAAATAAATACTCTAAATAACCTTATCATGGATATTTCTTTCATATTTTGTTCAAGGCTGTACTGCAAACCAGTATGCATGCAACAACAGCAACAATGAATGTTTGGAGTGGATCTACGTTTGTGATGGAGAAGCTGACTGTAGTGGAGGATCTGATGAAAGCGACTGTGAAAGAGGTATGTTTGAACATCTTCAATGAGTTTCAATATTTGAATACAGCATGTTCTTGAACAAATAGCAGAAAAAAACTGTCTCACACATACACAAGTGTTCAAGGGAACTCCTTAAATTGGAAAAAAACTGGAAATTGCACTGTTGCGCCTCGAAATGTGAACAGCCCGAAAAAGTTATGCTTGTTCACGACGTCTCCACTGTGTGCACAAAAGTCACGTGCCAGCCAGCGAGTTTACAAAGGAAATTTGTACTAATGTGTTACTTTAACATACCAATGTAATATCAATTGTCGGGTCTTGAAAATACACGTACAAGTTCTGACCAGCATGTTTGGTCTCCATGCAAAACACGAGGTTTTGCTAAGACAACAATTATGATGTGCTACCCCATCCATGGATAATCTAAATAAATCAAGACAGAGTACAGTGATGATGCCAATTAGTCCTTTCCAAATCTGGTGTGATGATGCCAATTAGTCCTTTACAATTCTGGTAGCTGTTACTTGAAGAGAATGTACACTACGTCACGCGTGAGGAAGTAGAAACGAATTAAGAATTGTTCAATTAATCAACAATCTACATCTTTTATTTGTGTGACACCAGAATGCGCCAGAAGTGAATTCCGCTGTGCTGATAAGAAGCACTGCATTCGTGGAAGCCTGTACTGTGATGGGGTGACTGACTGTGCAGACCAGAGTGATGAAACTCCAGACTGTGCATGCCGCTCAGACCAAATACGTTGTGGCAATGGGAGCTGCCTGGGAATAGCGTCCTTGTGTGATGGAGTCAATGACTGTGGGGATTTTACTGATGAAAGCAACTGCAGTAAGTTCCATTATGAGTTGAATTCGGTTATTAATGATTCGTAGTATTTTTTTTTCAAATAAATATTCTAAATAACCTTATCATGGATATTTTTTTCCTATTTTGTTCAAGGCTGTACTGCAAACCAGTATGCATGCAACAACAGCAACAATGAATGTTTGGAGTGGATCTACGTTTGTGATGGAGAAGCTGACTGTAGTGGTGGATCTGATGAAAGCGACTGTGAAAGAGGTATGTTTGAACATCTTCAATGAGTTTCAATATTTGAATACAGCATGTTCTTGAACAAATAGCAGAAAAAAACTGTCTCACACATACACAGGTGTTAAGGGAACTCCTTAAATTGGAAAAAAAACTGGAAATTGTACTGTTGCGCCTCGAAATGTGAACAGCCCGAAAAAGTTATGCTTGTTCACGACGTCTCCACTGTGTGCACAAAAGTCACGTGCCAGCCAGCGAGTTTACAAAGGAAATTTGTACTAATGTGTTACTTTAACATACCAATGTAATATCAATTGTCGGGTCTTGAAAATACACGTACAAGTTCTGACCAGCATGTTTGGTCTCCATGCAAAACACGAGGTTTTGCTAAGACAAGAATTATGATGTGCTACCCCATCCATGGATAATCTAAATAAATCAAGACAGAGTACAGTGATGATGCCAATTAGTCCTTTCCAAATCTGGTAGTGATGATGCCAATTAGTCCTTTACAATTCTGGTAGCTGTTACTTGAAGAGAATGTAAACTACGTCACGCGTGAGGAAGTAGAAACGAATTAAGAATTGTTCAATTAATCAACAATCTACATCTTTTATTTGTGTGACACCAGAATGCGCCAGAAGTGAATTCCGCTGTGCTGATAAGAAGCACTGCATTCGTGGAAGCCTGTACTGTGATGGGGTGACTGACTGTGCAGACGAGAGTGATGAAACTCCAGACTGTGAATGCCGCTCAGACCAAATACGTTGTGGCAATGGGAGCTGCCTGGCAATAGCGTTCTTGTGTGATGGAGTCAATGACTGTGGGGATTTTACTGATGAAAGCAACTGCAGTAAGTTCCATTATGAGTTGAATTCGGTTATTAATGATTCGTACTATTTTTTTTTTCAAATAAATACTCTAAATAACCTTATCATGGATATTTTTTTCCTATTTTGTTCAAGGCTGTACTGCAAACCAGTATGCATGCAACAACAGCAACAATGAATGTTTGGAGTGGATCTACGTTTGTGATGGAGAAGCTGACTGTAGTGGTGGATCTGATGAAAGCGACTGTGAAAGAGGTATGTTTGAACATCTTCAGTGAGTTTCAATATTTGAATACAGCATGTTCTTGAACAAATAGCAGAAAAAACTGTCTCACACATACACAAGTGTTCAAGGGAACTCCTTAAATTGGAAAAAAAACTGGAAATTGCACTACTTGCGCCTCGAAATGTGAACAGCCGGAAAAAGTGATGCTTGTTCACGACGTCTCCACTGTGTGCACAAAAGTCACGTGCCAGCCAGCGAGTTTACAAAGGAAATTTGTACTATTGTGTTACTTTAACATACCAATGTAATATCAATTGTCCGGTCTTGAAAATACACGTACAAGTTCTGACCAGCATGTTTGGTCTCCATGCAAAACACGAGGTTTTGCTAAGACAACAATTATGATGTGCTACCCCATCCATGGATAATCTAAATAAATCAAGACAGAGTACAGTGATGATGCCAATTAGTCCTTTCCAAATCTGGTAGTGATGATGCCAATTAGTCCTTTACAAATCTGGTAGCTGTTACTTGAAGAGAATTTAAACTATGTCACGCGTGAGGAAGTAGAAACGAATTAAGAATTGTTCAATTAATCAACAATCTACATCTTTTATTTGTGTGACACCAGAATGCGCCAGAAGTGAATTCCGCTGTGCTGATAAGAAGCACTGCATTCGTGGAAGCCTGTACTGTGATGGGGTGACTGACTGTGCAGACCAGAGTGATGAAACTCCAGACTGTGCATGCCGCTCAGACCAAATACGTTGTGGCAATGGGAGCTGCCTGGCAATAGCGTTCCTTGTGTGATGGAGTCAATGACTGTGGGGATTTTACTGATGAAAGCAACTGCAGTAAGTTCCATTATGAGTTGAATTCGGTTATTAATTATTCGTAGTATTTTTTTTTCAAATAAATACTCTAAATAACCTTATCATGGATATTTTTTTCCTATTTTGTTCAAGGCTGTACTGCAAACCAGTATGCATGCAACAACAGCAACAATGAATGTTTGGAGTGGATCTACGTTTGTGATGGAGAAGCTGACTGTAGTGGTGGATCTGATGAAAGCGACTGTGAAAGAGGTATGTTTGAACATCTTCAATGAGTTTCAATATTTGAATACAGCATGTTCTTGAACAAATAGCAGAAAAAAACTGTCTCACACATACACAAGTGTTCAAGGGAACTCCTTAAATTGGAAAAAAAACTGGAAATTGTACTGTTGCGCCTCGAAATGTGAACAGCCCGAAAAAGTGATGCTTGTTCACGACGTCTCCACTGTGTGCACAAAAGTCACGTGCCAGCCAGCGAGTTTACAAAGGAAATTTGTACTAATGTGTTACTTTAACATACCAATGTAATATCAATTGTCCGGTCTTGAAAATACACGTACAAGTTCTGACCAGCATGTTTGGTCTCCATGCAAAACACGAGGTTTTGCTAAGACAAGAATTATGATGTGCTACCCCATCCATGGATAATCTAAATAAATCAAGACAGAGTACAGTGATGATGCCAATTAGTCCTTTCCAAATCTGGTAGTGATGATGCCAATTAGTCCTTTACAATTCTGGTAGCTGTTACTTGAAGAGAATGTAAACTACGTCACGCGTGAGGAAGTAGAAACGAATTAAGAATTGTTCAATTAATCAACAATCTACATCTTTTATTTGTGTGACACCAGAATGCGCCAGAAGTGAATTCCGCTGTGCTGATAAGAAGCACTGCATTCGTGGAAGCCTGTACTGTGATGGGGTGACTGACTGTGCAGACGAGAGTGATGAAACTCCAGACTGTGCATGCCGCTCAGACCAAATACGTTGTGGCAATGGGAGCTGCCTGGCAATAGCGTTCTTGTGTGATGGAGTCAATGACTGTGGGGATTTTACTGATGAAAGCAACTGCAGTAAGTTCCATTATGAGTTGAATTCGGTTAATAATGATTCGTAGTATCTTTTTTTTCAAATAAATATTCTAAATAACCTTATCATGGATATTTTTTTCCTATTTTGTTCAAGGCTGTACTGCAAACCAGTATGCATGCAACAACAGCAACAATGAATGTTTGGAGTGGATCTACGTTTGTGATGGAGAAGCTGACTGTAGTGGCGGATCTGATGAAAGCGACTGTGAAAGAGGTATGTTTGAACATCTTCAATGAGTTTCAATATTTGAATACAGCATGTTCTTGAACAAATAGAAAAACTGTCTCACACATACACAAGTGTTCAAGGGAACTCCTTAAATTGGAAAAGAACTGGAAATTGCACTGTTGCGCCTCGAAATGTGAACAGCCCGAAAAAGTTATGCTTGTTCACGACGTCTCCACTGTGTGCACAAAAGTCACGTGCCAGCCAGCGAGTTTACAAAGGAAATTTGTACAAATGTGTTACTTTAACATACCAATGTAATATCAATTGTCGGGTCTTGAAAATACACGTACAAGTTCTGACCAGCATGTTTGGTCTCCATGCAAAACACGGGGTTTTGCTAAGACAACAATTATGATGTGCTACCTCATCCATGGATAATCTAAATAAATCAAGACAGAGTACAGTGATGATGCCAATTAGTCCTTTCCAAATCTGGTAGTGATGATGCCAATTAGTCCTTTACAATTCTGGTAGCTGTTACTTGAAGAGAATGTAAACTACGTCACGCGTGAGGAAGTAGAAACGAATTAAGAATTGTTCAATTAATCAACAATCTACATCTTTTATTTGTGTGACACCAGAATGCGCCAGAAGTGAATTCCGCTGTGCTGATAAGAAGCACTGCATTCGTGGAAGCCTGTACTGTGATGGGGTGACTGACTGTGCAGACCAGAGTGATGAAACTCCAGACTGTGCATGCCGCTCAGACCAAATACGTTGTGGCAATGGGAGCTGCCTGGGAATAGCGTCCTTGTGTGATGGAGTCAATGACTGTGGGGATTTTACTGATGAAAGCAATTGCAGTAAGTTCCATTATGAGTTGAATTCGGTTATTAATGATTCGTAGTATTTTTTTTTCAAATAAATATTCTAAATAACCTTATCATGGATATTTTTTTCCTATTTTGTTCAAGGCTGTACTGCAAACCAGTATGCATGCAACAACAGCAACAATGAATGTTTGGAGTGGATCTACGTTTGTGATGGAGAAGCTGACTGTAGTGGCGGATCTGATGAAAGCGACTGTGAAAGAGGTATGTTTGAACATCTTCAATGAGTTTCAATATTTGAATACAGCATGTTCTTGAACAAATAGCAGAAATACTGTCTCACATACCCAAGTGTTCAAGGGAACTCCTTAAATCGGAAAAAAAACTGGAAATTGCACTGCTGCGCCTCGAAATGTGAACAGCCGGAAAAAGTTATGCTTGTTCACGACGTCTCCACTGTGTGCACAAAAGTCACGTGCCAGCCAGCGAGTTTACAAAGGAAGTTTGTACTAATGTGTTACTTTAACATACCAATGTAATATCAATTGTCGGGTCTTGAAAATACACGTACAAGTTCTGACCAGCATGTTTGGTCTCCATGCAAAACACGAGGTTTTGCTAAGACAACAATTATGATGTGCTACCCCATCCATGGATAATCTAAATAAATCAAGACAGAGTACAGTGATGATGCCAATTAGTCCTTTCCAAATCTGGTAGTGATGATGCCAATTAGTCCTTTACAATTCTGGTAGCTGTTACTTGAAGAGAATGTAAACTACGTCACGCGTGAGGAAGTAGAAACGAATTAAGAATTGTTCAATTAATCAACAATCTACATCTTTTATTTGTGTGACACCAGAATGCGCCAGAAGTGAATTCCGCTGTGCTGATAAGAAGCACTGCATTCGTGGAAGCCTGTACTGTGATGGGGTGACTGACTGTGCAGACCAGAGTGATGAAACTCCAGACTGTGCATGCCGCTCAGACCAAATACGTTGTGGCAATGGGAGCTGCCTGGGAATAGCGTCCTTGTGTGATGGAGTCAATGACTGTGGGGATTTTACTGATGAAAGCAACTGCAGTAAGTTCCATTATGAGTTGAATTCGGTTATTAATGATTCGTAGTATCTTTTTTTCAAATAAATATTCTAAATAACCTTATCATGGATATTTTTTTCCTATTTTGTTCAAGGCTGTACTGCAAACCAGTATGCATGCAACAACAGCAACAATGAATGTTTGGAGTGGATCTACGTTTGTGATGGAGAAGCTGACTGTAGTGGCGGATCTGATGAAAGCGACTGTGAAAGAGGTATGTTTGAACATCTTCAATGAGTTTCAATATTTGAATACAGCATGTTCTTGAACAAATAGCAGAAAAACTGTCTCACACATACACAAGTGTTCAAGGGAACTCCGTAAATTGGAAAAGAACTGGAAATTGCACTGTTGCGCCTCGAAATGTGAACAGCCCGAAAAAGTTATGCTTGTTCACGACGTCTCCACTGTGTGCACAAAAGTCACGTGCCAGCCAGCGAGTTTACAAAGGAAATTTGTACAAATGTGTTACTTTAACATACCAATGTAATATCAATTGTCGGGTCTTGAAAATACACGTACAAGTTCTGACCAGCATGTTTGGTCTCCATGCAAAACACGAGGTTTTGCTAAGACAACAATTATGATGTGCTATCCCATCCATGGATAATCTAAATAAATCAAGACAGAGTACAGTGATGATGCCAATTAGTCCTTTCCAAATCTGGTAGTGATGATGCCAATTAGTCCTTTACAATTCTGGTAGCTGTTACTTGAAGAGAATGTAAACTACGTCACGCGTGAGGAAGTAGAAACGAATTAAGAATTGTTCAATTAATCAACAATCTACATCTTTTATTTGTGTGACACCAGAATGCGCCAGAAGTGAATTCCGCTGTGCTGATAAGAAGCACTGCATTCGTGGAAGCCTGTACTGTGATGGGGTGACTGACTGTGCAGACCAGAGTGATGAAACTCCAGACTGTGCATGCCGCTCAGACCAAATACGTTGTGGCAATGGGAGCTGCCTGGGAATAGCGTCCTTGTGTGATGGAGTCAATGACTGTGGGGATTTTACTGATGAAAGCAACTGCAGTAAGTTCCATTATGAGTTGAATTCGGTTATTAATGATTCGTAGTATCTTTTTTTTCAAATAAATATTCTAAATAACCTTATCATGGATATTTTTTTCCTATTTTGTTCAAGGCTGTACTGCAAACCAGTATGCATGCAACAACAGCAACAATGAATGTTTGGAGTGGATCTACGTTTGTGATGGAGAAGCTGACTGTAGTGGCGGATCTGATGAAAGCGACTGTGAAAGAGGTATGTTTGAACATCTTCAATGAGTTTCAATATTTGAATACAGCATGTTCTTGAACAAATAGCAGAAAAACTGTCTCACACATACACAAGTGTTCAAGGGAACTCCGTAAATTGGAAAAGAACTGGAAATTGCACTGTTGCGCCTCGAAATGTGAACAGCCCGAAAAAGTTATGCTTGTTCACGACGTCTCCACTGTGTGCACAAAAGTCACGTGCCAGCCAGCGAGTTTACAAAGGAAATTTGTACTAATGTGTTACTTTAACATACCAATGTAATATCAATTGTCGGGTCTTGAAAATACACGTACAAGTTCTGACCAGCATGTTTGGTCTCCATGCAAAACACGAGGTTTTGCTAAGACAACAATTATGATGTGCTATCCCATCCATGGATAATCTAAATAAATCAAGACAGAGTACAGTGATGATGCCAATTAGTCCTTTCCAAATCTGGTAGTGATGATGCCAATTAGTCCTTTACAATTCTGGTAGCTGTTACTTGAAGAGAATATAAACTACGTCACGCGTGAGGAAGTAGAAACGAATTAAGAATTGTTCAATTAATCAACAATCTACATCTTTTATTTGTGTGACACCAGAATGCGCCAGAAGTGAATTCCGCTGTGCTGATAAGAAGCACTGCATTCGTGGAAGCCTGTACTGTGATGGGGTGACTGACTGTGCAGACCAGAGTGATGAAACTCCAGACTGTGCATGCCGCTCAGACCAAATACGTTGTGGCAATGGGAGCTGCCTGGGAATAGCGTCCTTGTGTGATGGAGTCAATGACTGTGGGGATTTTACTGATGAAAGCAACTGCAGTAAGTTCCATTATGAGTTGAATTCGGTTATTAATGATTCGTAGTATCTTTTTTTTCAAATAAATATTCTAAATAACCTTATCATGGATATTTTTTTCCTATTTTGTTCAAGGCTGTACTGCAAACCAGTATGCATGCAACAACAGCAACAATGAATGTTTGGAGTGGATCTACGTTTGTGATGGAGAAGCTGACTGTAGTGGCGGATCTGATGAAAGCGACTGTGAAAGAGGTATGTTTGAACATCTTCAATGAGTTTCAATATTTGAATACAGCATGTTCTTGAACAAATAGCAGAAATACTGTCTCACATACACAAGTGTTCAAGGGAACTCCGTAAATTAGAAAAGAACTGGAAATTGCACTGTTGCGCCTCGAAATGTGAACAGCCCGAAAAAGTTATGCTTGTTCACGACGTCTCCACTGTGTGCACAAAAGTCACGTGCCAGCCAGCGAGTTTACAAAGGAAATTTGTACTAATGTGTTACTTTAACATACCAATGTAATATCAATTGTCGGGTCTTGAAAATACACGTACAAGTTCTGCCCAGCATGTTTGGTCTCCATGCAAAACACGAGGTTTTGCTAAGACAACAATTATGATGTGCTATCCCATCCATGGATAATCTAAATAAATCAAGACAGAGTACAGTGATGATGCCAATTAGTCCTTTCCAAATCTGGTAGTGATGATGCCAATTAGTCCTTTACAATTCTGGTAGCTGTTACTTGAAGAGAATGTAAACTACGTCACGCGCGAGGAAGTAGAAACGAATTAAGAATTGTTCAATTAATCAACAATCTACATCTTTTATTTGTGTGACACCAGAATGCGCCAGAAGTGAATTCCGCTGTGCTGATAAGAAGCACTGCATTCGTGGAAGCCTGTACTGTGATGGGGTGACTGACTGTGCAGACGAGAGTGATGAAACTCCAGACTGTGCATGCCGCTCAGACCAAATACGTTGTGGCAATGGGAGCTGCCTGGGAATAGCGTACTTGTGTGATGGAGTCAATGACTGTGGGGATTTTACTGATGAAAGCAACTGCAGTAAGTTCCATTATGAGTTGAATTCGGTTAATAATGATTCGTAGTATCTTTTTTTTCAAATAAATATTCTAAATAACCTTATCATGGATATTTTTTCCTATTTTGTTCAAGGCTGTACTGCAAACCAGTATGCATGCAACAACAGCAACAATGAATGTTTGGAGTGGATCTACGTTTGTGATGGAGAAGCTGACTGTAGTGGTGGATCTGATGAAAGCGACTGTGAAAGAGGTATGTTTGAACATCTTCAATGAGTTTCAATATTTGAATACAGCATGTTCTTGAACAAATAGCAGAAATACTGTCTCACATACCCAAGTGTTCAAGGGAACTCCTTAAATCGGAAAAAAAACTGGAAATTGCACTGCTGCGCCTCGAAATGTGAACAGCCCGAAAAAGTTATGCTTGTTCACGACGTCTCCACTGTGTGCACAAAAGTCACGTGCCAGCCAGCGAGTTTACAAAGGAAATTTGTACTAATGTGTTACTTTAACATACCAATGTAATATCAATTGTCGGGTCTGCAAAATACACGTACAAGTTCTGACCAGCATGTTTGGTCTCCATGCAAAACACGAGGTTTTGCTAAGACAACAATTATGATGTGCTATCCCATCCATGGATAATCTAAATAAATCAAGACAGAGTACAGTGATGATGCCAATTAGTCCTTTCCAAATCTGGTAGTGATGATGCCAATTAGTCCTTTACAATTCTGGTAGCTGTTACTTGAAGAGTATGTAAACTACGTCACGCGTGAGGAAGTAGAAACGAATTAAGAATTGTTCAATTAATCAACAATCTACATCTTTTATTTGTGTGACACCAGAATGCGCCAGAAGTGAATTCCGCTGTGCTGATAAGAAGCACTGCATTCGTGGAAGCCTGTACTGTGATGGGGTGACTGACTGTGCAGACCAGAGTGATGAAACTCCAGACTGTGCATGCCGCTCAGACCAAATACGTTGTGGCAATGGGAGCTGCCTGGGAATAGCGTCCTTGTGTGATGGAGTCAATGACTGTGGGGATTTTACTGATGAAAGCAACTGCAGTAAGTTCCATTATTAGTTGAATTCGGTTATTAATGATTCGTAGTATCTTTTTTTTCAAATAAATATTCTAAATAACCTTATCATGGATATTTTTTTCCTATTTTGTTCAAGGCTGTACTGCAAACCAGTATGCATGCAACAACAGCAACAATGAATGTTTGGAGTGGATCTACGTTTGTGATGGAGAAGCTGACTGTAGTGGCGGATCTGATGAAAGCGACTGTGAAAGAGGTATGTTTGAACATCTTCAATGAGTTTCAATATTTGAATACAGCATGTTCTTGAACAAATAGCAGAAATACTGTCTCACATACACAAGTGTTCAAGGGAACTCCGTAAATTGGAAAAGAACTGGAAATTGCACTGTTGCGCCTCGAAATGTGAACAGCCCGAAAAAGTTATGCTTGTTCACGACGTCTCCACTGTGTGCACAAAAGTCACATGCCAGCCAGCGAGTTTACAAAGGAAATTTGTACTAATGTGTTACTTTAACATACCAATGTAATATCAATTGTCGGGTCTTGAAAATACACGTACAAGTTCTGCCCAGCATGTTTGGTCTCCATGCAAAACACGAGGTTTTGCTAAGACAACAATTATGATGTGCTATCCCATCCATGGATAATCTAAATAAATCAAGACAGAGTACAGTGATGATGCCAATTAGTCCTTTCCAAATCTGGTAGTGATGATGCCAATTAGTCCTTTACAATTCTGGTAGCTGTTACTTGAAGAGAATGTAAACTACGTCACGCGCGAGGAAGTAGAAACGAATTAAGAATTGTTCAATTAATCAACAATCTACATCTTTTATTTGTGTGACACCAGAATGCGCCAGAAGTGAATTCCGCTGTGCTGATAAGAAGCACTGCATTCGTGGAAGCCTGTACTGTGATGGGGTGACTGACTGTGCAGACCAGAGTGATGAAACTCCAGACTGTGCATGCCGCTCAGACCAAATACGTTGTGGCAATGGGAGCTGCCTGGGAATAGCGTCCTTGTGTGATGGAGTCAATGACTGTGGGGATTTTACTGATGAAAGCAACTGCAGTAAGTTCCATTATGAGTTGAATTCGGTTATTAATGATTCGTAGTATCTTTTTTTTCAAATAAATATTCTAAATAACCTTATCATGGATATTTTTTCCTATTTTGTTCAAGGCTGTACTGAAAACCAGTATGCATGCAACAACAGCAACAATGAATGTTTGGAGTGGATCTACGTTTGTGATGGAGAAGCTGACTGTAGTGGCGGATCTGATGAAAGCGACTGTGAAAGAGGTATGTTTGAACATCTTCAATGAGTTTCAATATTTGAATACAGCATGTTCTTGAACAAATAGCAGAAATACTGTCTCACATACCCAAGTGTTCAAGGGAACTCCTTAAATCGGAAAAAAAACTGGAAATTGCACTGCTGCGCCTCGAAATGTGAACAGCCGGAAAAAGTTATGCTTGTTCACGACGTCTCCACTGTGTGCACAAAAGTCACGTGCCAGCCAGCGAGTTTACAAAGGAAGTTTGTACTAATGTGTTACTTTAACATACCAATGTAATATCAATTGTCGGGTCTTGAAAATACACGTACAAGTTCTGACCAGCATGTTTGGTCTCCATGCAAAACACGAGGTTTTGCTAAGACAACAATTATGATGTGCTACCCCATCCATGGATAATCTAAATAAATCAAGACAGAGTACAGTGATGATGCCAATTAGTCTTTTCCAAATCTGGTAGTGATGATGCCAATTAGTCCTTTACAATTCTGGTAGCTGTTACTTGAAGAGAATGTAAACTACGTCACGCGTGAGGAAGTAGAAACGAATTAAGAATTGTTCAATTAATCAACAATCTACATCTTTTATTTGTGTGACACCAGAATGCGCCAGAAGTGAATTCCGCTGTGCTGATAAGAAGCACTGCATTCGTGGAAGCCTGTACTGTGATGGGGTGACTGACTGTGCAGACCAGAGTGATGAAACTCCAGACTGTGCATGCCGCTCAGACCAAATACGTTGTGGCAATGGGAGCTGCCTGGGAATAGCGTCCTTGTGTGATGGAGTCAATGACTGTGGGGATTTTACTGATGAAAGCAACTGCAGTAAGTTCCATTATGAGTTGAATTCGGTTATTAATGATTCGTAGTATCTTTTTTTCAAATAAATATTCTAAATAACCTTATCATGGATATTTTTTTCCTATTTTGTTCAAGGCTGTACTGCAAACCAGTATGCATGCAACAACAGCAACAATGAATGTTTGGAGTGGATCTACGTTTGTGATGGAGAAGCTGACTGTAGTGGCGGATCTGATGAAAGCGACTGTGAAAGAGGTATGTTTGAACATCTTCAATGAGTTTCAATATTTGAATACAGCATGTTCTTGAACAAATAGCAGAAAAACTGTCTCACACATACACAAGTGTTCAAGGGAACTCCGTAAATTGGAAAAGAACTGGAAATTGCACTGTTGCGCCTCGAAATGTGAACAGCCCGAAAAAGTTATGCTTGTTCACGACGTCTCCACTGTGTGCACAAAAGTCACGTGCCAGCCAGCGAGTTTACAAAGGAAATTTGTACTAATGTGTTACTTTAACATACCAATGTAATATCAATTGTCGGGTCTTGAAAATACACGTACAAGTTCTGACCAGCATGGGTTGGTCTCCATGCAAAACACGAGGTTTTGCTAAGACAACAATTATGATGTGCTATCCCATCCATGGATAATCTAAATAAATCAAGACAGAGTACAGTGATGATGCCAATTAGTCCTTTCCAAATCTGGTAGTGATGATGCCAATTAGTCCTTTACAAATCTGGTAGCTGTTACTTGAAGAGAATTTAAACTATGTCACGCGTGAGGAAGTAGAAACGAATTAAGAATTGTTCAATTAATTAACAATCTACATCTTTTATTTGTGTGACACCAGAATGCGCCAGAAGTGAATTCCGCTGTGCTGATAAGAAGCACTGCATTCGTGGAAGCCTGTACTGTGATGGGGTGACTGACTGTGCAGACCAGAGTGATGAAACTCCAGACTGTGCATGCCGCTCAGACCAAATACGTTGTGGCAATGGGAGCTGCCTGGGAATAGCGTCCTTGTGTGATGGAGTCAATGACTGTGGGGATTTTACTGATGAAAGCAACTGCAGTAAGTTCCATTATGAGTTGAATTCGGTTATTAATGATTCGTAGTATCTTTTTTTTCAAATAAATATTCTAAATAACCTTATCATGGATATTTTTTTCCTATTTTGTTCAAGGCTGTACTGAAAACCAGTATGCATGCAACAACAGCAACAATGAATGTTTGGAGTGGATCTACGTTTGTGATGGAGAAGCTGACTGTAGTGGCGGATCTGATGAAAGCGACTGTGAAAGAGGTATGTTTGAACATCTTCAATGAGTTTCAATATTTGAATACAGCATGTTCTTGAACAAATAGCAGAAATACTGTCTCACATACACAAGTGTTCAAGGGAACTCCGTAAATTGGAAAAGAACTGGAAATTGCACTGTTGCGCCTCGAAATGTGAACAGCCCGAAAAAGTTATGCTTGTTCACAACGTCTCCACTGTGTGCACAAAAGTCACGTGCCAGCCAGCGAGTTTACAAAGGAAATTTGTACTAATGTGTTACTTTAACATACCAATGTAATATCAATTGTCGGGTCTTGAAAATACACGTACAAGTTCTGACCAGCATGGGTTGGTCTCCATGCAAAACACGAGGTTTTGCTAAGACAACAATTATGATGTGCTATCCCATCCATGGATAATCTAAATAAATCAAGACAGAGTACAGTGATGATGCCAATTAGTCCTTTCCAAATCTGGTAGTGATGATGCCAATTAGTCCTTTACAATTCTGGTAGCTGTTACTTGAAGAGAATATAAACTACGTCACGCGTGAGGAAGTAGAAACGAATTAAGAATTGTTCAATTAATCAACAATCTACATCTTTTATTTGTGTGACACCAGAATGCGCCAGAAGTGAATTCCGCTGTGCTGATAAGAAGCACTGCATTCGTGGAAGCCTGTACTGTGATGGGGTGACTGACTGTGCAGACCAGAGTGATGAAACTCCAGACTGTGCATGCCGCTCAGACCAAATACGTTGTGGCAATGGGAGCTGCCTGGGAATAGCGTCCTTGTGTGATGGAGTCAATGACTGTGGGGATTTTACTGATGAAAGCAACTGCAGTAAGTTCCATTATGAGTTGAATTCGGTTATTAATGATTCGTAGTATCTTTTTTTTCAAATAAATATTCTAAATAACCTTATCATGGATATTTTTTTCCTATTTTGTTCAAGGCTGTACTGAAAACCAGTATGCATGCAACAACAGCAACAATGAATGTTTGGAGTGGATCTACGTTTGTGATGGAGAAGCTGACTGTAGTGGCGGATCTGATGAAAGCGACTGTGAAAGAGGTATGTTTGAACATCTTCAATGAGTTTCAATATTTGAATACAGCATGTTCTTGAACAAATAGCAGAAATACTGTCTCACATACACAAGTGTTCAAGGGAACTCCGTAAATTGGAAAAGAACTGGAAATTGCACTGTTGCGCCTCGAAATGTGAACAGCCCGAAAAAGTTATGCTTGTTCACGACGTCTCCACTGTGTGCACAAAAGTCACGTGCCAGCCAGCGAGTTTACAAAGGAAATTTGTACTAATGTGTTACTTTAACATACCAATGTAATATCAATTGTCGGGTCTTGAAAATACACGTACAAGTTCTGCCCAGCATGTTTGGTCTCCATGCAAAACACGAGGTTTTGCTAAGACAACAATTATGATGTGCTATCCCATCCATGGATAATCTAAATAAATCAAGACAGAGTACAGTGATGATGCCAATTAGTCCTTTCCAAATCTGGTAGTGATGATGCCAATTAGTCCTTTACAATTCTGGTAGCTGTTACTTGAAGAGAATGTAAACTACGTCACGCGCGAGGAAGTAGAAACGAATTAAGAATTGTTCAATTAATCAACAATCTACATCTTTTATTTGTGTGACACCAGAATGCGCCAGAAGTGAATTCCGCTGTGCTGATAAGAAGCACTGCATTCGTGGAAGCCTGTACTGTGATGGGGTGACTGACTGTGCAGACCAGAGTGATGAAACTCCAGACTGTGCATGCCGCTCAGACCAAATACGTTGTGGCAATGGGAGCTGCCTGGGAATAGCGTCCTTGTGTGATGGAGTCAATGACTGTGGGGATTTTACTGATGAAAGCAACTGCAGTAAGTTCCATTATGAGTTGAATTCGGTTATTAATGATTCGTAGTATCTTTTTTTTCAAATAAATATTCTAAATAACCTTATCATGGATATTTTTTTCCTATTTTGTTCAAGGCTGTACTGCAAACCAGTATGCATGCAACAACAGCAACAATGAATGTTTGGAGTGGATCTACGTTTGTGATGGAGAAGCTGACTGTAGTGGCGGATCTGATGAAAGCGACTGTGAAAGAGGTATGTTTGAACATCTTCAATGAGTTTCAATATTTGAATACAGCATGTTCTTGAACAAATAGCAGAAAAACTGTCTCACACATACACAAGTGTTCAAGGGAACTCCTTAAATTGGAAAAGAACTGGAAATTGCACTGTTGCGCCTCGAAATGTGAACAGCCCGAAAAAGTTATGCTTGTTCACGACGTCTCCACTGTGTGCACAAAAGTCACGTGCCAGCCAGCGAGTTTACAAATGTAATCTGTACTAATGTGTTACTTTAACATACCAATGTAATATCAATTGTCGGGTCTTCAAAATACATGTACAAGTTTTGACCAGCATGTTTGGTCTCCATGCAAACACGAGGTTTTGCTAAGACAAACAACAATTATGATGTGCTACCCCATCCATGGATAATCTAAATAAATTAAGACAGAGTACAGTGATGATGCCAATTAGTCCTTTCCAAATCTGGTAATGATGATGCCAATTAGTCCTTTACAATTCTGGTAGCTGTTACTTGAAGAGAATGTAAACTACGTCACGCGTGAGGAAGTAGAAACGAATTAAGAATTGTTCAATTAATCAACAATCTACATCTTTTATTTGTGTGACACCAGAATGCGCCAGAAGTGAATTCCGCTGTGCTGATAAGAAGCACTGCATTCGTGGAAGCCTGTACTGTGATGGGGTGACTGACTGTGCAGACCAGAGTGATGAAACTCCAGACTGTGCATGCCGCTCAGACCAAATACGTTGTGGCAATGGGAGCTGCCTGGGAATAGCGTCCTTGTGTGATGGAGTCAATGACTGTGGGGATTTTACTGATGAAAGCAACTGCAGTAAGTTCCATTATGAGTTGAATTCGGTTATTAATGAATCGTAGTATTTTTTTTTTCAAATAAATATTCTAAATAACCTTATCATGGATATTTTTTTCCTATTTTGTTGAAGGCTGTACTGCAAACCAGTATGCATGCAACAACAGCAACAATGAATGTTTGGAGTGGATCTACGTTTGTGATGGAGAAACTGACTGTAGTGGCGGATCTGATGAAAGCGACTGTGTAAGAGGTATGTTTGAACATCTTCAATGAGTTTCAATATTTGAATACAGCATGTTCTTGAACAAATAGCAGAAATACTGTTTCACATACACAAGTGTTCAAGGGAACTCCTTAAATCGGAAAAAAACTGGAAATTGCACTGCTGCGCCTCGAAATGTGAACAGCCGGAAAAAGTGATGCTTGTTCACGACGTCTCCACTGTGTGCACAAAAGTCACGTGCCAGCCAGCGAGTTTCCAAAGCAAATTTGTACTATTGTGTTACTTTAACATACCAATGTAATATCAATTGTCCGGTCTTGAAAATACACGTACAAGTTCTGACCAGCATGTTTGGTCTCCATGCAAAACACGAGGTTTTGCTAAGACAACAATTATGATGTGCTACCCCATCCATGGATAATCTAAATAAATTAAGACAGAGTACAGTGATGATGCCAATTAGTTCTTTCCAAATCTGGTAGTGATGATGCCAATTAGTCCTTTACAATTCTGGTAGCTGTTACTTGATGAGAATGTAAACTACGTCACGCGTGAGGAAGCAGAAACGAATCAAGAATTGTTCAATTAATTAACAATCTACATCTTTTATTTGTGTGACACCAGAATGCGCCAGAAGTGAATTCCGCTGTGCTGATAAGAAGCACTGCATTCGTGGAAGCCTGTACTGTGATGGGGTGACTGACTGTGCAGACCAGAGTGATGAAACTCCAGACTGTGCATGCCGCTCAGACCAAATACGTTGTGGCAATGGGAGCTGCCTGGGAATAGCGTCCTTGTGTGATGGAGTCAATGACTGTGGGGATTTTACTGATGAAAGCAACTGCAGTAAGTTCCATTATGAGTTGAATTCGGTTATTAATGATTCATAGTATATTTTTTTCAAATAAATATTCTAAATAAACTTCTCATGGATATTTTTTTCCTATTTTGTTCAAGGCTGTACTGCAAACCAGTATGCATGCAACAACAGCAACAATGAATGTTTGGAGTGGATCTACGTTTGTGATGGAGAAGCTGACTGTAGTGGGGGATCTGATGAAAGCGACTGTGAAAGAGGTATGTTTGAACATCTTCAATGAGTTTCAATATTTGAAAACAGCATGTTATTGAACAAATAGCAGAAATACTGTCTCACACATAAACAATTGTTCAAGGGAACTCCTTGAATTGGAAAAAAAGTGGAAATTGCACTGCTGCGCCTCGAAATGTGAACAGCCCGAAAAAGTTATGCTTGTTCACGACGTCTCCACTGTGTGCACAAAAGTCACGTACCAGCCAGCGAGCTTACAAATGTCATTTGTACTAATGTGTTACTTTAACATACCAATGTAATATCAATTGTCGCGTCTTCAAAATACATGTACAAGTTCTCACCGGGATGTGTTGGTCTCCATGCAAAACACGAGGTTTTTGCTAAGACAACAATTATGATGTGCTACCCCATGCAAGGATGATCTAAATAAATCAAGACAGAGTACAGTGTTGATGCCAATTAGTCCTTTCCAAATCTGGTAGCGATGATGCCAATTAGCCCTTTACAATTCTGGTAGCTGTTACTTGATGAGAATGTAAACTACATCACGCGTGAAGAAGTAGAAACGAATCAAGAATTGTTCAATTAATTAACAATCTACATTTTTTATTTGTGTGACACCAGAATGCGCTAGGAGTGAATTCCGGTGTGCTGATAAGAAGCACTGCATTCGTGGAAGCCTGTACTGTGATGGGGTGACTGACTGTGCAGACCAGAGTGATGAAACTCCAGACTGTGCATGCCGCTCAGACCAAATACGTTGTGGCAATGGGAGCTGCCTGGGAATAGCGTCCTTGTGTGATGGAGTCAATGACTGTGGGGATTTTACTGATGAAAGCAACTGCAGTAAGTTCCATTATGAGTTGAATTTGGTTATTAATGATTCATAGTATTTTGTTTCAAATAAATATTCTAAATAACCATATCATGGATATTTTTTCCTATTTTGTTCAAGGCTGTACTGCAAACCAGTATGCATGCAACAACAGCAACAATGAATGTTTGGAGTGGATCTACGTTTGTGATGGAGAAGCTGACTGTAGTGGCGGATCTGATGAAAGCGACTGTGAAAGAGGTATGTTTGAACATCTTCAATGAGTTTCAATATTTGAATACAGCATGTTCTTGAACAAATAGCAGAAATACTGTCTCACACATAAACAATTGTTCAAGGGAACTCCTTGAATTGGAAAAAAAGTGGAAATTGCACTGCTGCGCCTCGAAATGTGAACAGCCCGAAAAAGTTATGCTTGTTCACGACGTCTCCACTGTGTGCACAAAAGTCACGTGCCAGCCTGCGAGTTTACAAATGTAATTTGTACTAATGTGTTACTTTAACATACCAATGTAATATCAATTGTCGTGTCTTCAAAGTACACGTACAAGTTCTGACCGGGATGTTTGGTCTCCATGCAAAACACGAGGTTTTGCTAAAACAACACATTTGATGTATCACCCCATGCAGGGATGATCTAAATAAATCAAGACAGAGTACAGTGTTGATGCCAATTAGTCCTTTCCAAATCTGGTAGCGATGATGCCAATTAGCCCTTTACAATTCTGGTAACTGTTACTTGATGAGAATGTAAACTACGTCACGCGTGAATAAGTAAAAATGAATCAAGAATTGTTGAATTAATTAACAATCTACATCTTTTATTTGTGTGACACCAGAATGCGTCGCAAGTGAGTTCCGCTGTGCTGATAAGAGGCACTGCATTCGTGGAAGCCTGTACTGTGATGGGGTGACTGACTGTGCAGACCAGAGTGATGAAACTCCAGACTGTGCATGCCGCTCAGACCAAATACGTTGTGGCAATGGGAGCTGCCTGGGAATAGCGTCCTTGTGTGATGGAGTCAATGACTGTGGGGATTTTACTGATGAAAGCAACTGCAGTAAGTTCCATTATGAGTTGAATTCGGTTATTAATGATTCGTAGTATCTTTTTTTTCAAATAAATATTCTAAATAACCTTATCATGGATATTTTTTTCCTATTTTGTTCAAGGCTGTACTGCAAACCAGTATGCATGCAACAACAGCAACAATGAATGTTTGGAGTGGATCTACGTTTGTGATGGAGAAGCTGACTGTAGTGGCGGATCTGATGAAAGCGACTGTGAAAGAGGTATGTTTGAACATCTTCAATGAGTTTCAATATTTGAATACAGCATGTTCTTGAACAAATAGCAGAAAAACTGTCTCACACATACACAAGTGTTCAAGGGAACTCCGTAAATTGGAAAAGAACTGGAAATTGCACTGTTGCGCCTCGAAATGTGAACAGCCCGAAAAAGTTATGCTTGTTCACAACGTCTCCACTGTGTGCACAAAAGTCACGTGCCAGCCAGCGAGTTTACAAAGGAAATTTGTACTAATGTGTTACTTTAACATACCAATGTAATATCAATTGTCGGGTCTTGAAAATACACGTACAAGTTCTGACCAGCATGGGTTGGTCTCCATGCAAAACACGAGGTTTTGCTAAGACAACAATTATGATGTGCTATCCCATCCATGGATAATCTAAATAAATCAAGACAGAGTACAGTGATGATGCCAATTAGTCCTTTCCAAATCTGGTAGTGATGATGCCAATTAGTCCTTTACAAATCTGGTAGCTGTTACTTGAAGAGAATTTAAACTATGTCACGCGTGAGGAAGTAGAAACGAATTAAGAATTGTTCAATTAATTAACAATCTACATCTTTTATTTGTGTGACACCAGAATGCGCCAGAAGTGAATTCCGCTGTGCTGATAAGAAGCACTGCATTCGTGGAAGCCTGTACTGTGATGGGGTGACTGACTGTGCAGACGAGAGTGATGAAACTCCAGACTGTGCATGCCGCTCAGACCAAATACGTTGTGGCAATGGGAGCTGCCTGGGAATAGCGTCCTTGTGTGATGGAGTCAATGACTGTGGGGATTTTACTGATGAAAGCAACTGCAGTAAGTTCCATTATGAGTTGAATTCGGTTATTAATGATTCGTAGTATCTTTTTTTTCAAATAAATATTCTAAATAACCTTATCATGGATATTTTTTTCCTATTTTGTTCAAGGCTGTACTGCAAACCAGTATGCATGCAACAACAGCAACAATGAATGTTTGGAGTGGATCTACGTTTGTGATGGAGAAGCTGACTGTAGTGGCGGATCTGATGAAAGCGACTGTGAAAGAGGTATGTTTGAACATCTTCAATGAGTTTCAATATTTGAATACAGCATGTTCTTGAACAAATAGCAGAAAAACTGTCTCACACATACACAAGTGTTCAAGGGAACTCCTTAAATTGGAAAAGAACTGGAAATTGCACTGTTGCGCCTCGAAATGTGAACAGCCCGAAAAAGTTATGCTTGTTCACGACGTCTCCACTGTGTGCACAAAAGTCACGTGCCAGCCAGCGAGTTTACAAATGTAATCTGTACTAATGTGTTACTTTAACATACCAATGTAATATCAATTGTCGGGTCTTCAAAATACATGTACAAGTTTTGACCAGCATGTTTGGTCTCCATGCAAACACGAGGTTTTGCTAAGACAAACAACAATTATGATGTGCTACCCCATCCATGGATAATCTAAATAAATTAAGACAGAGTACAGTGATGATGCCAATTAGTCCTTTCCAAATCTGGTAATGATGATGCCAATTAGTCCTTTACAATTCTGGTAGCTGTTACTTGAAGAGAATGTAAACTACGTCACGCGTGAGGAAGTAGAAACGAATTAAGAATTGTTCAATTAATCAACAATCTACATCTTTTATTTGTGTGACACCAGAATGCGCCAGAAGTGAATTCCGCTGTGCTGATAAGAAGCACTGCATTCGTGGAAGCCTGTACTGTGATGGGGTGACTGACTGTGCAGACCAGAGTGATGAAACTCCAGACTGTGCATGCCGCTCAGACCAAATACGTTGTGGCAATGGGAGCTGCCTGGGAATAGCGTCCTTGTGTGATGGAGTCAATGACTGTGGGGATTTTACTGATGAAAGCAACTGCAGTAAGTTCCATTATGAGTTGAATTCGGTTATTAATGAATCGTAGTATTTTTTTTTTCAAATAAATATTCTAAATAACCTTATCATGGATATTTTTTTCCTATTTTGTTGAAGGCTGTACTGCAAACCAGTATGCATGCAACAACAGCAACAATGAATGTTTGGAGTGGATCTACGTTTGTGATGGAGAAACTGACTGTAGTGGCGGATCTGATGAAAGCGACTGTGTAAGAGGTATGTTTGAACATCTTCAATGAGTTTCAATATTTGAATACAGCATGTTCTTGAACAAATAGCAGAAATACTGTTTCACATACACAAGTGTTCAAGGGAACTCCTTAAATCGGAAAAAAACTGGAAATTGCACTGCTGCGCCTCGAAATGTGAACAGCCGGAAAAAGTGATGCTTGTTCACGACGTCTCCACTGTGTGCACAAAAGTCACGTGCCAGCCAGCGAGTTTCCAAAGCAAATTTGTACTATTGTGTTACTTTAACATACCAATGTAATATCAATTGTCCGGTCTTGAAAATACACGTACAAGTTCTGACCAGCATGTTTGGTCTCCATGCAAAACACGAGGTTTTGCTAAGACAACAATTATGATGTGCTACCCCATCCATGGATAATCTAAATAAATTAAGACAGAGTACAGTGATGATGCCAATTAGTTCTTTCCAAATCTGGTAGTGATGATGCCAATTAGTCCTTTACAATTCTGGTAGCTGTTACTTGATGAGAATGTAAACTACGTCACGCGTGAGGAAGCAGAAACGAATCAAGAATTGTTCAATTAATTAACAATCTACATCTTTTATTTGTGTGACACCAGAATGCGCCAGAAGTGAATTCCGCTGTGCTGATAAGAAGCACTGCATTCGTGGAAGCCTGTACTGTGATGGGGTGACTGACTGTGCAGACCAGAGTGATGAAACTCCAGACTGTGCATGCCGCTCAGACCAAATACGTTGTGGCAATGGGAGCTGCCTGGGAATAGCGTCCTTGTGTGATGGAGTCAATGACTGTGGGGATTTTACTGATGAAAGCAACTGCAGTAAGTTCCATTATGAGTTGAATTCGGTTATTAATGATTCATAGTATATTTTTTTCAAATAAATATTCTAAATAAACTTCTCATGGATATTTTTTTCCTATTTTGTTCAAGGCTGTACTGCAAACCAGTATGCATGCAACAACAGCAACAATGAATGTTTGGAGTGGATCTACGTTTGTGATGGAGAAGCTGACTGTAGTGGGGGATCTGATGAAAGCGACTGTGAAAGAGGTATGTTTGAACATCTTCAATGAGTTTCAATATTTGAAAACAGCATGTTATTGAACAAATAGCAGAAATACTGTCTCACACATAAACAATTGTTCAAGGGAACTCCTTGAATTGGAAAAAAAGTGGAAATTGCACTGCTGCGCCTCGAAATGTGAACAGCCCGAAAAAGTTATGCTTGTTCACGACGTCTCCACTGTGTGCACAAAAGTCACGTGCCAGCCAGCGAGTTTACAAATGTAATTTGTTCTAATGTGTTACTTTAACATTCCAATGTAATATCAATTGTCGTGTCTTCAAAATACACGTACAAGTTCTGACCGGGATGTTTGGTCTCCATGCAAAACACGAGGTTTTGCTAAAACAACACATTTGATGTGCTACCCCATGCAAGGATGATCTAAATAAATCAAGACAGAGTACAGTGTTGATGCCAATTAGTCCTTTCCAAATCTGGTAGCGATGATGCCAATTAGCCCTTTACAATTCTGGTAGCTGTTACTTGATGAGAATGTAAACTACATCACGCGTGAAGAAGTAGAAACGAATCAAGAATTGTTCAATTAATTAACAATCTACATTTTTTATTTGTGTGACACCAGAATGCGCTAGGAGTGAATTCCGGTGTGCTGATAAGAAGCACTGCATTCGTGGAAGCCTGTACTGTGATGGGGTGACTGACTGTGCAGACCAGAGTGATGAAACTCCAGACTGTGCATGCCGCTCAGACCAAATACGTTGTGGCAATGGGAGCTGCCTGGGAATAGCGTCCTTGTGTGATGGAGTCAATGACTGTGGGGATTTTACTGATGAAAGCAACTGCAGTAAGTTCCATTATGAGTTGAATTCGGTTATTAATGATTCATGTTTTTTTTTTTCAAATAAATATTCTAAATAAACTTCTCATGGATATTTTTTTCCTATTTTGTTCAAGGCTGTACTGCAAACCAGTATGCATGCAACAACAGCAACAATGAATGTTTGGAGTGGACCTACGTTTGTGATGGAGAAGCTGACTGTAGTGGCGGATCTGATGAAAGCGACTGTGAAAGAGGTATGTTTGAACATCTTCAATGAGTTTCAATATTTGAATACAGCATGTTCTTGAACAAATAGCAGAAATACTGTCTCACACATACACAAGTGTTCAAAGGACCTCCTTAAATTGAAAAAAACTGGAAATTGCACTGCTGCGCCTCGAAATGTGAACAGCCCGAAAAAGTTATGCTTGTTCACGACGTCTCCACTGTGTGCACAAAAGTCACGTACCAGCCAGCGAGCTTACAAATGTCATTTGTACTAATGTGTTACTTTAACATACCAATGTAATATCAATTGTCGCGTCTTCAAAATACATGTACAAGTTCTCACCGGGATGTGTTGGTCTCCATGCAAAACACGAGGTTTTTGCTAAGACAACAATTATGATGTGCTACCCCATGCAAGGATGATCTAAATAAATCAAGACAGAGTACAGTGTTGATGCCAATTAGTCCTTTCCAAATCTGGTAGCGATGATGCCAATTAGCCCTTTACAATTCTGGTAGCTGTTACTTGATGAGAATGTAAACTACATCACGCGTGAAGAAGTAGAAACGAATCAAGAATTGTTCAATTAATTAACAATCTACATTTTTTATTTGTGTGACACCAGAATGCGCTAGGAGTGAATTCCGGTGTGCTGATAAGAAGCACTGCATTCGTGGAAGCCTGTACTGTGATGGGGTGACTGACTGTGCAGACCAGAGTGATGAAACTCCAGACTGTGCATGCCGCTCAGACCAAATACGTTGTGGCAATGGGAGCTGCCTGGGAATAGCGTCCTTGTGTGATGGAGTCAATGACTGTGGGGATTTTACTGATGAAAGCAACTGCAGTAAGTTCCATTATGAGTTGAATTTGGTTATTAATGATTCATAGTATTTTGTTTCAAATAAATATTCTAAATAACCATATCATGGATATTTTTTCCTATTTTGTTCAAGGCTGTACTGCAAACCAGTATGCATGCAACAACAGCAACAATGAATGTTTGGAGTGGATCTACGTTTGTGATGGAGAAGCTGACTGTAGTGGCGGATCTGATGAAAGCGACTGTGAAAGAGGTATGTTTGAACATCTTCAATGAGTTTCAATATTTGAATACAGCATGTTCTTGAACAAATAGCAGAAATACTGTCTCACACATAAACAATTGTTCAAGGGAACTCCTTGAATTGGAAAAAAAGTGGAAATTGCACTGCTGCGCCTCGAAATGTGAACAGCCCGAAAAAGTTATGCTTGTTCACGACGTCTCCACTGTGTGCACAAAAGTCACGTGCCAGCCTGCGAGTTTACAAATGTAATTTGTACTAATGTGTTACTTTAACATACCAATGTAATATCAATTGTCGTGTCTTCAAAGTACACGTACAAGTTCTGACCGGGATGTTTGGTCTCCATGCAAAACACGAGGTTTTGCTAAAACAACACATTTGATGTATCACCCCATGCAGGGATGATCTAAATAAATCAAGACAGAGTACAGTGTTGATGCCAATTAGTCCTTTCCAAATCTGGTAGCGATGATGCCAATTAGCCCTTTACAATTCTGGTAACTGTTACTTGATGAGAATGTAAACTACGTCACGCGTGAATAAGTAAAAATGAATCAAGAATTGTTGAATTAATTAACAATCTACATCTTTTATTTGTGTGACACCAGAATGCGTCGCAAGTGAGTTCCGCTGTGCTGATAAGAGGCACTGCATTCGTGGAAGCCTGTACTGTGATGGGGTGACTGACTGTGCAGACCAGAGTGATGAAACTCCAGACTGTGCATGCCGCTCAGACCAAATACGTTGTGGCAATGGGAGCTGCCTGGGAATAGCGTCCTTGTGTGATGGAGTCAATGACTGTGGGGATTTTACTGATGAAAGAAACTGCAGTAAGTTCCATTATGAGTTGATTTCGGTTATTAATGATTCATGGTTTTTTTTTTCAAATAAATATTATAAATAACCTTATCATGGATATTTTTTCCTACTTTGTTCAAGGCTGTACTGCAAACCAGTATGCATGCAACAACAGCAACAATGAATGTTTGGAGTGGATCTACGTTTGTGATGGAGAAGCTGACTGTAGTGGCGGATCTGATGAAAGCGACTGTGCAAGAGGTATGTTTGAACATCTTCAATGAGTTTCAATATTTGAAAACAGCATGTTATTGAACAAATAGCAGAAATACTGTCTCACACATAAACAATTGTTCAAGGGAACTCCTTGAATTGGAAAAAAACTGGAAATTGCACTGCTGCGCCTCGAAATGTGAACAGCCCGAAAAAGTTATGCTTGTTCACGACGTCTCCCCTGTGTGCACAAAAGTCACGTGCCAGCCAGCGAGTTTACAAATGTAATTTGTTCTAATCTGTTACTTTAACATTCCAATGTAATATCAATTGTCGTGTCTTCAAAATACACGTACAAGTTCTGACCGGGATGTTTGGTCTCCATGCAAAACACGAGGTTTTGCTAAAACAACACATTTGATGTGCTACCCCATGCAAGGATGATCTAAATAAATCAAGACAGAGTACAGTGATGATGCCAATTAGTCATTTCCAACTCTGGTAGTGATGATGCCAATTAGCCCTTTACAATTCTGGTAGCTGTTACTTGATGAGAATGTAAACTACATCACGCGTGAAGAAGTAGAAAAGAATCAAGAATTGTTCAATTAATTACCAATCTACATTTTTTATTTGTGTGACACCAGAATGCGCCAGGAGTGAATTCCAGTGTGCTGATAAGAAGCACTGCATTCGTGGAAGCTTGTACTGTGATGGGGTGACTGACTGTGCAGACCAGAGTGATGAAACTCCAGACTGTGCATGCCGCTCAGACCAAATACGTTGTGGCAATGGGAGCTGCCTGGGAATAGCGTCCTTGTGTGATGGAGTCAATGACTGTGGGGATTTTACTGATGAAAGCAACTGCAGTAAGTTCCATTATGAGTTGAATTTGGTTATTAATGATTCATGTTTTTTTTTTCAAATAAATATTCTAAATAAACTTCTCATGGATATTTTGTTCCTATTTTGTTCAAGGCTGTACTGCAAACCAGTATGCATGCAACAACAGCAACAATGAATGTTTGGAGTGGATCTACGTTTGTGATGGAGAAGCTGACTGTAGTGGCGGATCTGATGAAAGCGACTGTGAAAGAGGTATGTTTGAACATCTTCAATGCGTTTCAATATTTGAATACAGCATGTTATTGAACAAATAGCAGAAATACTGTCTCACACATAAACAATTGTTCAAGGGAACTCCTTGAATTGGAAAACCCTGGAAATTGCACTGCTGCGCCTCGAAATGTGAACAGCCCGAAAAAGTGATGCTTGTTCCCGACGTCTCCACTGTGTGCACAAAAGTCACGTGCCAGCCAGCGAGTTTACAAATGTAATTTGTACTAATGTGTTACTTTAACATACCAATGTAATATCAATTGTTGTGTCTTCAAAATACACGTACAAGTTCTGACCGGGATGTTTGGTCTCCATGCAAAACACGAGGTTTTGCTAAAACAACACATTTGATGTATCACCCCATGCAGGGATGATCTAAATAAATCAAGACAGAGTACAGTGTTGATGCCAATTAGTCCTTTCCAAATCTGGTAGCGATGATGCCAATTAGCCCTTTACAATTCTGGTAACTGTTACCTGATGAGAATGTAAACTACGTCACGCGTGAATAAGTAAAAATGAATCAAGAATTGTTGAATTAATTAACAATCTACATCTTTTATTTGTGTGACACCAGAATGCGTCGCAAGTGAGTTCCGCTGTGCTGATAAGAGGCACTGCATTCGTGGAAGCCTGTACTGTGATGGGGTGACTGACTGTGCAGACCAGAGTGATGAAACTCCAGACTGTGCATGCCGCTCAGACCAAATACGTTGTGGCAATGGGAGCTGCCTGGGAATAGCGTCCTTGTGTGATGGAGTCAATGACTGTGGGGATTTTACTGATGAAAGAAACTGCAGTAAGTTCCATTATGAGTTGATTTCGGTTATTAATGATTCATGGTTTTTTTTTTTCAAATAAATATTATAAATAACCTTATCATGGATATTTTTTCCTACTTTGTTCAAGGCTGTACTGCAAACCAGTATGCATGCAACAACAGCAACAATGAATGTTTGGAGTGGATCTACGTTTGTGATGGAGAAGCTGACTGTAGTGGCGGATCTGATGAAAGCGACTGTGCAAGAGGTATGTTTGAACATCTTCAATGAGTTTCAATATTTGAAAACAGCATGTTATTGAACAAATAGCAGAAATACTGTCTCACACATAAACAATTGTTCAAGGGAACTCCTTGAATTGGAAAAAAACTGGAAATTGCACTGCTGCGCCTCGAAATGTGAACAGCCCGAAAAAGTTATGCTTGTTCACGACGTCTCCCCTGTGTGCACAAAAGTCACGTGCCAGCCAGCGAGTTTACAAATGTAATTTGTTCTAATGTGTTACTTTAACATTCCAATGTAATATCAATTGTCGTGTCTTCAAAATACACGTACAAGTTCTGACCGGGATGTTTGGTCTCCATGCAAAACACGAGGTTTTGCTAAAACAACACATTTGATGTGCTACCCCATGCAAGGATGATCTAAATAAATCAAGACAGAGTACAGTGATGATGCCAATTAGTCATTTCCAACTCTGGTAGTGATGATGCCAATTAGCCCTTTACAATTCTGGTAGCTGTTACTTGATGAGAATGTAAACTACATCACGCGTGAAGAAGTAGAAAAGAATCAAGAATTGTTCAATTAATTACCAATCTACATTTTTTATTTGTGTGACACCAGAATGCGCCAGGAGTGAATTCCAGTGTGCTGATAAGAAGCACTGCATTCGTGGAAGCTTGTACTGTGATGGGGTGACTGACTGTGCAGACCAGAGTGATGAAACTCCAGACTGTGCATGCCGCTCAGACCAAATACGTTGTGGCAATGGGAGCTGCCTGGGAATAGCGTCCTTGTGTGATGGAGTCAATGACTGTGGGGATTTTACTGATGAAAGCAACTGCAGTAAGTTCCATTATGAGTTGAATTCGGTTATTAATGATTCATGTTTTTTTTTTTCAAATAAATATTCTAAATAAACTTCTCATGGATATTTTTTTCCTATTTTGTTCAAGGCTGTACTGCAAACCAGTATGCATGCAACAACAGCAACAATGAATGTTTGGAGTGGATCTACGTTTGTGATGGAGAAGCTGACTGTAGTGGCGGATCTGATGAAAGCGACTGTGAAAGAGGTATGTTTGAACATCTTCAATGCGTTTCAATATTTGAATACAGCATGTTATTGAACAAATAGCAGAAATACTGTCTCACACATAAACAATTGTTCAAGGGAACTCCTTGAATTGGAAAAAACCCTGGAAATTGCACTGCTGCGCCTCGAAATGTGAACAGCCTGAAAAAGTGATGCTTGTTCCCGACGTCTCCACTGTGTGCACAAAAGTCACGTGCCAGCCAGCGAGTTTACAAATGTAATTTGTACTAATGTGTTACTTTAACATACCAATGTAATATCAATTGTCGTGTCTTCAAAATACACGTACAAGTTCTGACCGGGATGTTTGGTCTCCATGCAAAACACGAGGTTTTGCTAAAACAACACATTTGATGTGCTACCCCATGCAAGGATGATCTAAATAAATCAAGACAGAGTACAGTGATGATGCCAATTAGTCATTTCCAACTCTGGTAGTGATGATGCCAATTAGCCCTTTACAATTCTGGTAGCTGTTACTTGATGAGAATGTAAACTACATCACGCGTGAAGAAGTAGAAAAGAATCAAGAATTGTTCAATTAATTACCAATCTACATTTTTTATTTGTGTGACACCAGAATGCGCCAGGAGTGAATTCCAGTGTGCTGATAAGAAGCACTGCATTCGTGGAAGCCTGTACTGTGATGGGGTGACTGACTGTGCAGACCAGAGTGATGAAACTCCAGACTGTGCATGCCGCTCAGACCAAATACGTTGTGGCAATGGGAGCTGCCTGGGAATAGCGTCCTTGTGTGATGGAGTCAATGACTGTGGGGATTTTACTGATGAAAGCAACTGCAGTAAGTTCCATTATGAGTTGAATTCGGTTATTAATGATTCATGGTTTTTTTTTTCAAATAAATATTATAAATAACCTTATCATGGATATTTTTTCCTACTTTGTTCAAGGCTGTACTGCAAACCAGTATGCATGCAACAACAGCAACAATGAATGTTTGGAGTGGATCTACGTTTGTGATGGAGAAGCTGACTGTAGTGGCGGATCTGATGAAAGCGACTGTGCAAGAGGTATGTTTGAACATCTTCAATGAGTTTCAATATTTGAAAACAGCATGTTATTGAACAAATAGCAGAAATACTGTCTCACACATAAACAATTGTTCAAGGGAACTCCTTGAATTGGAAAAAAACTGGAAATTGCACTGCTGCGCCTCGAAATGTGAACAGCCCGAAAAAGTTATGCTTGTTCACGACGTCTCCCCTGTGTGCACAAAAGTCACGTGCCAGCCAGCGAGTTTACAAATGTAATTTGTTCTAATGTGTTACTTTAACATTCCAATGTAATATCAATTGTCGTGTCTTCAAAATACACGTACAAGTTCTGACCGGGATGTTTGGTCTCCATGCAAAACACGAGGTTTTGCTAAGACAACAATTATGATGTGCTACCCCATGCAAGGATGATCTAAATAAATCAAGACAGAGTACAGTGATGATGCCAATTAGTCATTTCCAACTCTGGTAGTGATGATGCCAATTAGCCCTTTACAATTCTGGTAGCTGTTACTTGATGAGAATGTAAACTACATCACGCGTGAAGAAGTAGAAAAGAATCAAGAATTGTTCAATTAATTACCAATCTACATTTTTTATTTGTGTGACACCAGAATGCGCCAGGAGTGAATTCCAGTGTGCTGATAAGAAGCACTGCATTCGTGGAAGCCTGTACTGTGATGGGGTGACTGACTGTGCAGACCAGAGTGATGAAACTCCAGACTGTGCATGCCGCTCAGACCAAATACGTTGTGGCAATGGGAGCTGCCTGGGAATAGCGTCCTTGTGTGATGGAGTCAATGACTGTGGGGATTTTACTGATGAAAGCAACTGCAGTAAGTTCCATTATGAGTTGAATTCGGTTATTAATGATTCATGTTTTTTTTTTCAAATAAATATTCTAAATAAACTTCTCATGGATATTTTTTTCCTATTTTGTTCAAGGCTGTACTGCAAACCAGTATGCATGCAACAACAGCAACAATGAATGTTTGGAGTGGATCTACGTTTGTGATGGAGAAGCTGACTGTAGTGGCGGATCTGATGAAAGCGACTGTGAAAGAGGTATGTTTGAACATCTTCAATGCGTTTCAATATTTGAATACAGCATGTTATTGAACAAATAGCAGAAATACTGTCTCACACATAAACAATTGTTCAAGGGAACTCCTTGAATTGGAAAAACCCTGGAAATTGCACTGCTGCGCCTCGAAATGTGAACAGCCCGAAAAAGTGATGCTTGTTCCCGACGTCTCCACTGTGTGCACAAAAGTCACGTGCCAGCCAGCGAGTTTACAAATGTAATTTGTACTAATGTGTTACTTTAACATACCAATGTAATATCAATTGTCGTGTCTTCAAAATACACGTACAAGTTCTGACCGGGATGTTTGGTCTCCATGCAAAACACGAGGTTTTGCTAAGACAACAATTATGATGTGCTACCCCATCCATGGATAATCTAAATAAATCAAGACAGAGTACAGTGATGATGCCAATTAGTCCTTTCCAAATCTGGTAGTGATGATGCCAATTAGTCCTTTACAATTCTGGTAGCTGTTACTTGAAGAGAATGTAAACTACGTCACGCGTGAGGAAGTAGAAACGAATTAAGAATTGTTCAATTAATCAACAATCTACATCTTTTATTTGTGTGACACCAGAATGCGCCAGAAGTGAATTCCGCTGTGCTGATAAGAAGCACTGCATTCGTGGAAGCCTGTACTGTGATGGGGTGACTGACTGTGCAGACCAGAGTGATGAAACTCCAGACTGTGCATGCCGCTCAGACCAAATACGTTGTGGCAATGGGAGCTGCCTGGGAATAGCGTCCTTGTGTGATGGAGTCAATGACTGTGGGGATTTTACTGATGAAAGCAACTGCAGTGAGTTTTGTTTAAAATATACATTTTGATCTTGATTTGAAGCTTTCATGACTGCAGGAATCCATACTCTTTGGTTCTTTCGGTAATGTCACGTAGGTAGAAAAATAATAGATCACGATTTTTCGATCGCAACACAAGCAATCGTCATCAGGTGAAACAACCACAGCAAGAAAAAACTGCTGAAGTAGGCGAGAGATCTGCCATGGCACGAGGTTATAGGCCTCGGCAGTAGGGGGGAGAGAGAACCAGGGGGAGAAGGAGGCGGGACAGAAAGTGGACCTAGCAGCAGCACCCGGGTCACTGGAGTAAAGTGGACCACCGCGGCAGCACTGGAGAGATCGGCTGCAGGGGGGGAAGAAGTGGGGGGGGGAAGGAGGCGGGGCAGAAAGTTCCCCCCCCCTTCTCTCCCCCCCCCCCCGTGCCAGTGCCGCACAGACCAGCAGCTGCTTTGTGGCGATGGGACCTGTCTAGTGAAAGAGAGCTTCTGTGATGGCATCAACGACTGTGGGGACTTTACAGATGAAAGCAACTGTAGTGAGTTTCGTTTTATTTAAAGTATACATTTGTAGTGAGTCCAACTGAGTCGCAGATGTTGTTCTTTAGAGGCAACACATTTATTTGTAACATCAACACGTAACACAAAGGGGTAACTGCCCCTTCACCAGATACAGCCTAGAGTGGTGGCCAACGAGCTAACTACCCTATACGGAGGAGTTACAGCTACGAAGGGGCTGACCCTCACTCGGGTCTCGACCACGTGTTGATGCCTGTAGAGCTTACAGCTTGTAGGACGTAGAGCTTCAGCTTGTAGGATGCAGCGACCCCGGTCCCTCTCAGGGACCTACCTTATATCCCCCTGGGTCGGGGCTGCTCCGCCCTTGGCCCCGCCCGCCTTCTCGAGCGATCCAGCTCCCTCTCGATCCCTCTCGAGAGCTCTCACCGGACACGTGATCGCCCCCTAGCCCCCCCACCTGGGGGGCTCTCTGTGGACACTCTGGATCACGTGTCTACGGGGTCAACCAGAGTGCCATGGCCTGGGGCAACCCTGCCCCTGGGCTGATACTCTCCCCCTTGTGGGAGCCCGCATTACACGCTATGCGTGGTGCCCGCACTATCCCAGCACACACCAAGCCCCACTAGGGCTGGTACTACACCTGCCTACGGGGTGTACGCGATGACAGTGCATCGCACGCCACGGCCCCCTCGGGCCGACACCATACAGTGACATCCCTGATGTCACTAAACATTTTGAATGACCCATGATATTTGTAAAAAAATAAAGTTAGAAAACCTGTAATAACTAAATCAGTGACCTAACCTTGATTTTAATTTTACTCAGAGTGTGCTGTTATGTGCCTTGCAGCCTGTATTGATGGTGAGTTCCTTTGCAAAAGCAGTGGATGCGTGCCACTTTTTCTCGTTTGCGATGGTGACATTGACTGTGTAGACGGCTCGGATGAAGCTTCGTTTTTATGCAGACCAGGTAGGCCAGTACATAATATCCATCTGTCTCCTAAAATCTATTTTACATTGTACCTGCTTTTTTAAATAGATATTATGTTAACGCCTTTTTGTAATTCACGTCTTACAGCAAAGTATAATTTAAGAGTGAAGATTACTTATGAATCATGGCCAACTGACATTGCACTAGGAAATGAGGTGAGACGTAATTTTTTTCATTTTTGTTTTTGTAATGGCCAACATTTTTACATCAAATTTTACAGTAATATCCTGAACATTGTTTTAATTGCATTTTTATAATTTCTTCACCTTTACAGTTACAAGTATACCTGAAGAAACAATTCCCAAAGGTGAACGTGGTCGTCAAAGGGCATCAACTTCCATAATCATATATATAATCGACCCATATAACATTTATAGTTTGTAATCACACATTTTCTTAAGAAGTGAAATGTAGAGTGTTTTTTAAGACGGTTTTGATGTGAACATCAACTATACCACCATGTACACAAATAACACACACTACTAATCCTGCACAAAATACCAGTCTGTTCTGCAATTTTCATAAATGAATTTACAAAGCATGTATTCGTACTGCCTGCATCTTTACTTTCAGTTTTTTTTTAAGTTAAGGTAAAAAAGTATGTGTCCAACTTGATAAGTTACTTTCAATTTACTTGGGTAATACAATGGCTTCTTCAGCACCGTAACCGTGGGGTTACATTAACAGATTGACATGCTAATCTTGAGCAATACAATAGCCGAGGTATACCTAGCTATGCGATCTTACATTACTTGCAAATTCCATCTCAAGCCCCGCTCACTTACACTTGGGTTGTACCCATCTCAAACCTTTATAACCTACTAGCGGTAAGTACGCTGCGTTGCCCGGGTCAGAAAAATATTTTAGAACTACTCTTAAAAAACGTACATATACATACACAGATACTAAGATCTTCTTGGTTATAATAGGGTTTTTCCCCTTTTTTCTGGCAACAAAACTGAAACCTTTTTACAAGGATTCATGTCTGCATTAACCACAATATCTACAGTCAAAATGCAAACAAAAAACATACTATGATAATATATGCATTGTCCTTGACACTGATTGGTCCACACCAAGGGACGGCTTGCTTTTTAGCCTCGACCCAATTGGTGCTCGTCCCTTGGTGCGGACCAATCAGTTTCAAGGACAATGCATATATTATCATAGTATGTTTTTTGTTTGCATTTTGACTGCAGGTATTGTGGTTAATGCAGACATGAATCCTTGTAAAAAGGTTTCAGTTTTGTTGCCAGAAAAAAGGGGAAAACCCCTATTATTACATTTTGGTACTGGCAAAGGAGGTCTAATGATGTATCTTCTTGGTTCTTTCGGTAAAGTCACATAGAACCAAGAAGATGAATCCCTGCAGTCACGAAAGCTTTAAATCGAGATACTAAGATATTGTGAAAGCCCGTTGGACCATTTGTCCATTTCACCACCAACAAAATTATAAGAGGCTTGCAAAAGTCCAAAAAGTAATAGAAAGTGTGGGGTAAATAGTTGATCTAAAAGGGTTCCGAAAATTGTGGACAGCCCCCCCTTCAAAAAATATATTTAACCAAGTGTAAGTATCTATACCTACACACCTTACATACAACAGAGTAAGTAGTATCAATTGACTCTGTAGTTGTATCTACTGACTGTACAGTAGTATCTACTGAGCCAGTAGTAGCTACTGACTGTTTAGTAGTATTTACTGACTGCAGCAGTAATGACTGACCATAATCGTATCTACTGGCCCTACAGTAGTATCTACCGACTCTATAGTAGTAACAACTAACTCTATTTAACACGTAGGCTTTCGCGACCAATATTCATAATAAAGGTTTTTGGGTTAGATCGCGTTATTTATAAATGTGTCTTAACCCTCCACCACCTGACACGGCCAATCAGCAAAAAAAGTGTCAGCCCGTGTTTTGCAAAAGCAAAACATTACAGTAAGATTTGGTACAGTACACAAAATTCAAAAACTAGTATCTTGCACTAAAGACGCATTACCTAAATTATCAACAGAAGGTGTATATCGGATTAATTGTTTATGTGGCAGCTGCTACATTGGACAGACGGGACGTAACATCAGCGTAAGACTAAAAGAACATCAGAGAAATATTAAATTATCTCAAACACAACTGTCGGCAGTGGCAGAACATGCTTGTCAACAAGGACACTCAATTGATTTTGACAATGTTGCAGCGTTGTGTAAAACTAATTATTACTGGCAAAGACTAATTAGAGAATCCATTGAAATTGAGAGGAATAAGAATAACTTTAATCGCTCTGACAGCTACAGGCTTAGTGCGGCCTGGAAGCGTATTATTAAATAATACACTACATTTTGATTTAAAGCTTTCGTGACTGCAGTGATTCATGTTCTTGGCTCTTTCGGTGGAGTCACGTTGGGGGGGGAAGCAATAAAATAATAGAATATCTATGTTTGTTGTTTTGTTGTTTCCCTTCGGCGTGGCTTTGCCGAGGAAGCTAAGAATATGAATGCACATTACAATTCCTTATAGGGGAAACACATACTAATTAACGGATTACTAACATAGCATATAATCACTAACACATTACAACTAATTACTAATCTACAACTCATTACTAATCATAACCAATGACTGATTACTAATCGATTATATAATTACAATACCCCCCCTCCGCCTCTAATCACTGCACCTGATATGAGTTAAGTGATGACGTCACCCTGCTGCTCTATATAAAACCGGGAGCAAGCGAGGGCTTTACCATTCTGGCGAATTGCCCGATGATGCTGGATGTATTTACCAGCGAAACGTCGTACTCAAACTGTAAATGTGGATTCACTCTTCAACACACCGGTGGGCTAAAGTAGTGAATTATTTGTCTTTTGTCAACGTGACACTTTTTTTGCTGATTGGCCATGTCGGGTGGTGGAGGGTTACGACATTTATAAATAACACGATCTAACCCAAAAACCTTTATTATGAACTAACTCCATAGTAGTATCTGCTGACGCTATAGTAGTATGCACTGACTATAGTAGTAACTACTAACTCTATGACAGTATCTACTGACTGTATAGCAGTATCTACTGACTCTATAGCAGTGACTACGGACCGTAGTAGTATCTACTGTCTGTGTAGTCGTATTTGCTGACTGTAGCAGTATTTACTGACCGTAGTGGTATATACTGACTGTTTTAGTATCTACTAACTCTATTTAGCATTATCTACCAGCTGAATAGCAGTATCTACGATGACTACAGCAGTGCATACTGACTGTGGTGGGACCTGCTATTATTACAGCAGTGCATATTGTGGTGGTACCTCCTATGATTACAGCAGTGCATACCGACCGTGGTGGTACCTATGATTACAGCAGTGCATACTGACTGTGGTGGTACCTGCTATGACTACAGCAGTGCATACCTACTTTTGGTGGGACATGCTCTCCCTAGACCAGTGCATACTGACTGTGGTGGTACCTGCTATGACTACAGAAGTGCATACCTACTTTTGGTGGGACATGTTTTCCCTAGACCAGTGCATACCTACTTTTGGTGGGACATGCTCTCCCTATACCAGTACAAACTGACTGTGGTGGTACCTGCTATGACTACAGCAGTGCATACCTACTTTTGGTGGGACATGCTTTCCCTAGACCAGTGCATACTCACTGTGGTGGTACCTGCTATCACTTCACCAGTGCATACTGATTGTGGTGGTACCTGCTATGATTACAGCAGTGCATACTGACTGTGGTGGTACCTAATATGATTACAGCAGTGCATACTGACTGTGGTAGTACCTGCTATGACTACAGCAGTGCATACCTACTTTTAGTGGGACATGCATTCCCTAGACCAGTACATACTGACTGTGGTGGTACCTGCTATGACTACAGCAGTGCATACCTACTTTTGGTGGGACATGCTTTGCCTAGACCAGTGCATATTCACTGTGGTGGTACCTGCTATCACTACAGCAGTGCATACTGATTGTGGTGGTACATGCTATGATTACAGCAATGCATACTGACTGTGGTGGTACCTACTATCGCTACAGCAGTGCATACTGATTGTGGTAGTACCTGCTATGATTACAGCAGTGCATACTGATTGTTGTGGTACCTGCTATGATTACAGCAGTGCATACTGACTGTGGTGGTACCTGCTATCGCTACAGCAGTGTATACTGATTGTGGTAGTACCTGCTATGATTACAGCAGTGCATACTGTGGTGGAACCTGCTTTCACTACAGCAGTGGACACAGCTGTAGTGGTACGTGCTATCATTACAGCAGTGCATACTGACTGGTGATACCTGCTATGATTACAGCAGTGGCTACTGACTGTGGTGGTGTCCTATTACTACAGCTGTGCATACTCACTGTGGTGGTACCTGCTATTACAGCATTGCATATTGACTGAGGTGGTACCTGCTATGATTACAGCAGCGCATACTGACTGTGGTGGTACCTGCTATGATAACAGCACTGCATATTGACTGTTGTGGGACCTGCTATGATTACAGAAGCGCATACTGACTGTGGTGGTACCTGCTATGATAACAGTAGTGCATAAGGACTGTGGTGGGACCTGCTATGATTACAACAGTGCATACTGTGGTGGTACCAGCTATCACTACAGCAGTGTATACCGACTGTTGTGGTACCTGCAATCACGAAAGCAGTGTATAGCGACTGGAGTGGTACATGCTATCACTACAGCAGTGTATACCGACTGTGGTGGTACCTGCTATCACGACAGCAGTGTATACCGACTGTGGTGGCACCTGCTTTCACTACAGCAGTGCACACTGTGGAGGAACCTGCTATGATTACAGCAGTGCATATTGTGGTGGTACCTGCTATTACAGCAGTGCATACTGCTGTGGTGGTACCTGCTATGATTACAGCAGTGCATACTGTGGTGGTACGTGCTTTGATTACAGCAGTGCATACTGACTGGTGGTACCTGCTATGATTACAGTGCATACTGACTGTGGTGGTACCTGCTTTCACAACAGCATTGCATAAAGACTCTCGTGGTTCCTGCTTTCACCACAGCAGTGCATTCTGACTGTGGTGGTACCTGCTATAATTACCGCAGTGCATACTGACTGTGGTGGTACCTGCTATGATTACAGCAGCGCATACTGACTGTGGTGGTACCTGCTATGATAACAGCACTGCATATTGACTGTTGTGGGACCTGCTATGATTACAGAAGCGCATACTGACTGTGGTGGTACCTGCTATGATAACAGTAGTGCATAAGGACTGTGGTGGGACCTGCTATGATTACAACAGTGCATACTGTGGTGGTACCAGCTATCACTACAGCAGTGTATACCGACTGTTGTGGTACCTGCAATCACGACAGCAGTGTATACCGACTGGAGTGGTACCTGCTATCACTACAGCAGTGTATACCGACTGTGGTGGTACCTGCTATCACGACAGCAGTGTATACCGACTGTGGTGGCACCTGCTTTC